CGTCCATAAATGACGTCACGCGATTTTGTACGATTTTTGACCCCCCCCCCCCATCGTCACACGACGTCACATAAAGTCACGCACCCCTCAAACATGACGTCACAAAGCTCTGCCCCCCCCCCCCAAAAAAAAACATGCTTCAAATCGCTTTAAACTATTGTCATTGTAGTGCGTATTTAATGTGGCGCTGCACTCTGATGTTGTAGGAGAAAAACGTTTATGAAAAAGTCTATTTAATTAAGTAGAACGTGTTGTCTATATTATTTAAAGTTGCGCATTTTGATGTGACGTCACATTTCTCAAACCCCCCCCTCCCTCGTCACACATCGTCACAAATGTCTGACACCCCCACCCCCTCTAGGTGCGTGACGTCATTTATGGACGGCCCCAAACTTCCCGTGTGTCGCAGTGGCGTCATTGTGTGACGTCCACACAATTACACCACTGAGACACACAGGTTCAAGAAAATTTCCCCTGCGCTCTCAGCAAGGGACCCTTGCCCATCCAGAGGAGGAGGAGCGGTGGCGCGGCCGTTAGCGCACTGCCCTGTGAAACCACGAAACCCGAGTTTGAGTCCGGACCGCGGCCAACATCAGCAGCGAGCGATATCCAAACCAGACCTCGGCTTTGGCTTTGACCCAGCCCGTCGCTGACCGACGCGGTGAAATATGCTCACGCGAACCCCGGCACGCAGAGGCCCTCACCCGGCAGTGGGCTGGCGAAGGGCTGTAACTTATTGATAATTACAACCGATCAAATCTTTCCAGCAGGAGTTGCCGACATCGTTACATCTGTTTTCCCTCCCCACCTCCCCCCCCCATTGCTCTATCCCAATGTTGGGTCCCTCTCACCCCTCAGGAGGCCCAAGTGAGCCAAGTTCATCGCGCCCACTCACTTCTCAGGGAGGCACTGGGGTCCGGCCGCCCGTTCGTCTCATTGAATTAAAAACAACACCGGAAAGCAAGGACACCAACAAAAACACCTCTTTCCAATGTGATCACCCACACATGTTTTGAGTAAACCTCAACTCGCGTAGTAAAACACTGACCACGTTGTTCGCCCCTCCGGCGATAGCGAGAGGCTCGTAACGACGCCGTCGAAGCCACCGGCGGTAATAACTTCCTGGGCTCGTGACGCACGTAACAAAACCCGCGGCGCGCAGATAAGTTGATATTCGTTACGTGAATTGTGAAAATTAGTTGGGAAACTACGTGGCGGCCTCTCGGTTCTCGCCGAATGAGATGGGGAAATTTAACACGTAGCAGGCTTTCGCGACCAATATTATTCATAATATAGGTTTTTGGGTCAGATCGCGTTATTTATAAATGTGTCGTAACCCTCCACCACCCGACATGGCCAAACAGTAAGAAATGTGTCACGTTTTTTCAAATGACAAAATAATTAACTTCCTTAAGCCCACCGGTGTATTGAAGAGAGAATCAACAACATTTCAGCACACCGGTGTGTTGATTCTCTCTACAACACACCGGTGGGCTAAAGAAGTGAATTGTTTTGTCCTTTGAAAAACGTGACACATTTTTTACTGTTTGGCCGTGTCGGGTGGTGGAGGATTACGACACATTTATAAATAACGCGATCTAAACCCCAAAACGTTTATTATGAGATGGGGAAAAACAATCGAAGCGAAAATAACCTTTCTGTTATTGGATCGTGATTCAAGATTCGTCATCAAGAACCGTGATTCTTCAGCGAATTGCCGATGGAGTAGGTGACTGTATGCATGCGCGTCTACGTACGCAAAATTTATGAATGCATGACAAAAAAGAATGTGCGCAGAGGGAAGCGAGATTTTGAGTTCACAACGAGAGCCACGAGTAGCCTTCTCCAGCCAAACTTTGCTCACAATATTCCATCGCAAATACCAGAGTTAAAACCGGACGACACGTCGCCTCGAAATGTTCCATCCTTGCGTGATCGTTGTTAAACAACATCCTTTTAGCACAAATTCCCTCGTACGGAACAACAAGGTTAATTTTTTTCCTACTTTTACATCAATGAAAATATATTTTTTTATATAAATATTATTAAAATGAAGTATATAGGTTGTGGGGTTCATAACACAGGGTGATAACCACTGCGCCACCATTCCGCCCCGCGCACTACGTAACATGCCGTACTGTAGATACATTATTCGTGAGAACTTTAAAAAAAAATCATCGATTGAATTTGATTCTCACGCTCGCGGTACACGCAGTGAATCTTGCATCTCAATGATCGATTATTAAAAATTTTTAATATTAAAATAACCGAATGGTAATGTGCAACCTTATAGGCTAATATAACGGCGCAGGAGTGAATCGTAGGGACTGGTCTAGATACATCTCGCACCACACATGTGAGGCTCTGCGGAGGAATTTAACTGACTTGGCCAGATTTCGATTTAAAGCTTTCGTGACTGCAGGGATTCATATTCTTGGTTCTTTCGGTAAAGTCACGTAAAAGGGAAATAATAAAATAATAATGTTCATTAGGACGCTGTCTTTCCGACAGACCTGTTCTTCACCTGAGGACGGCTGCTTGCGTTGTGGCCGAAACGTCGTGAGAATTATTTTATTATGTTTTATTTTTATGATTTTATTATTTCCCTTCTACGTGACTTTACCGAAAGAACCAAGAAGATGACTTGGCTGGCTTGATGGCGCTGTGCTCAAACCACCAAGCCACCATTCCCTCCCACGTTCATTACGTATGTTGCAAATCCGTGGCATCATACATATTATATGTACATTTACACAGAGCCCATATATTTTACATGTGGTCCTGTTAGAGGGTAGAATATATATTTAAATATATGTTTTGAGATGCGGCTGATGATTTCGAAACGTCTTTTTTGTTCAGCGGAATCTGTGCCAGCGCATTATTGTGTTCGGCTGATAAATACCTCACAACGCGTCCTGCCTCATCCCCTGCACCCTTCAGGGGTCCTCACGTCAATAAATTCAGGAGTGGGGGGAGGGGGCCAAACAATCCAGAGGAGAGGGCAGGACGTGACGCTCCGGAAAAACAGCTGACGGCGCGCTATGCGGTAAACAAGGCTCGCTTAACATTTTTTCCTCGCTCTTCTGCATTGCACTAACCTCTAAAACTCAACGCATCAGCCAAATGGCCTTCCTCAAACAAGAGGTTTACTTGTACACGAGGCGTAATGAAAGGCGCGCTCTTTGAGTTCACACGCGTGTAGGGTGTGGAGCCAGCTGACGTGAATCCTTTGCCGTAGCTGAACATCCACGGTGAGAGGAAAGTGAACCGGTCCTGATCATTATTGGACTGCACTGCATCACGCAGGAGCGCAAGCCACCACGCGCACACTCCGGTCATCCTTTGCAGAAGCGGCTTTAGGCTGACACCATCGAACATCGTGCACCTCCGATTAGCACGGTTGGTCAACATACGTACGTACGTACATACGTCGCGCGCTTTCAGATGCGCTTTCTGCGGCCGTCTGGAACGCTCTTCCTTCCGATATTAGGAGGCCACTGGGTGCTATGCAACTTTTAAATCATCATCTAGATTGACAAACTAATTTCTTAAGAACTACTCCAATCAGCACGGTTGGCTACGTACAGTGCCAATAAAAGTTCAACGTGCACACATACAACTGTGCTGTGGAGCCAGCTAAAGTCAATCTTTGTCAAGTGAACCGGTCCCGACTATTATTTGACGACACTGCATCACACGCACGCACACCAGCCCGGGTTGGCAAAGGCGGGGAGCATCGACGGCGACGCAGCATAGAAGTACAGCGCAACAACAACATACCCCGTCCAGCAGCTCATATCAACCGGCTGTGCATGGTTCTTGCCAATGCAAGCTCTGCACACATCTCGACCCTCCCCATTCGTCTGAGATCCGACGAGATCTCAGGCGCGATCGCGGGTGATCGCCACGCGGAGTTTCGTTGAACCGGGGCCGAGGACCTCCAGAGACCAGGATCGGAGTCTCGTTCGCAACATCGAAGTGACGAAGGCAAAACGGAGTACAATAAAGCACACAGCGACAAAGCGAACAGGAATCGTTTAACAGCTAGTAGTGGTAATAGGGCTTTCGCGACCAGTATTATCCATAATAGAGGCTTTTGGGGTTAGATCGCGTAAATATAAAAGTGTCGTTAAACCCGCCACTACCACCCGACACAGCCAATTAGTAAGGTCACGTGATCAAAACGATGCCAATCCGTTACGAGTTCAGCACTCGCCAGGTTGTGCGTTTGAGAGTAAGCCGACAACGTTGACAATTCGAGTACCGTGACACTTCGCCGATAATTACGACAACGACAACCAGCCTCACCAGGCAACAGCCACAGAGTTGTGGAAAATTCCTCCTCCTGTGTTGGTCTTAAATAGAGCGCGGTGGGAGGAGGGAATGAACGTGACGTCGCCACTTGTGAGACAATAAGATCAGAAGGGCGCGTGGGGGGGAGTTTATTGCAGTCACATAAATTACAATGTACATCCATTATTCGTTGGGTTATTCACAGTTAATCAACATACACAATGTCCTATGCGACGCCGCAAGCAAACTGCTGCGTCGCATGACACTGATATTGCACAGGCACGAACCGACGTCAAACAACGAACTGTCCGCAGCGCGAGTCATCTCGGGGCAGATTAGTTCTTAGACCGATCGTACGTAGCGCAATTTCACATTTAAGCTACGGAAACCTCGAACGCACTAAGGATGACAATCGTATTGAATATGGCAAACGGACAAGGACATGGATATCCAATACATGCACACACACACACATCCTGGTCTGCTTACATATCAATACAGAGTCTGAATCTTTATCTATCCTGGAAGAATGCGAAAAACTACGAATCTTTTTATCACGGACGTCCGGGGGGGGAAAAAAAAATCGAAATAATTAAATATTAATACAATCCCGATCGCGCGATGCAACGCACCTTCGATGAAAGGGCAACCGAGAGACGACACAGGCGCGGACAGAGGAGAAGAGAGAGGCGCGCGCCCAGACTCACCGTTGCTCTCGCGCATCTGCTTGGCGGGAGGCTCCTGGGTGCTCCAGTGGAGCCCCTGGGCTGCCGTGGAGGTCTGCGTCCACTGGCCCCCGGTTCCCATCGCTGCCCTCGAAGGAGCTCCTCCACCCTCCGCCGTGCGCGCTGCCTGGAAACGCACGGAATGAAAGTCGAGTGCTCCGCGCGTGCGTGTCATGCACAGGTGCTGCTCGCTAACGGCACTTGTCCCAGCAGTCCGTTGAGGCTACACGGGGGGGGATCTTTTGTCTTTGTGTGCATCTCAGTCAGTCAACCCACGGGCACCTCGTCGTGTCGACGAGCCTTCGACAACACCACCGTGGCCTCGGGAGTGCGCCTGGCCTGGCAACAAATGCCGTGGCGACGTTACCGCCAACTTCGTGGCGAAGGGCGGCTGTTGTTGTTCTTGTATATCATAGGTGCTACTCGCTAACAGCGCTTGGCCCAGCAGTCTGTTCAGGCTGTACTGGGGATCTTTGTCTTGTTGTATGTTAATAGGATGCTACTACCGTAGTCTAACAGTTAGCACATCGGAGTTGCAATGATTTAGCAAAGTTTCTTAACTTAATGGGTATGGCGCAGTCAGTCTGACTGGCAGGCTGCGTGTGGTGGGGTAAAGTGTGGGTACTCCACACCCCTTCCAAGACGCGTGGCCTGCGTGGAAGGCCCACTCGAGGGGGCTCACCAGAACTCCCTGCGGTGGAGGCCGAGTGGCACGAGAAAGCCATTGGAGAGGGCAGCACCATTAAAAATATATATATAAATAAATGTCTACGTTCGCTTTAACACGCGGATCGAGGTCGGTAAGGAAATCAGGCCATTCTAGAACCTATTCTTATACTTCATACTCTGATACTGGTGAAAAAATGTCCCAAATCATTTCACGTTGGCGCCGTCGGGGCAGCGCGAATGCGACGGCGACGTTCCCGAAACCCCGACCTCCACCGCCTTCCCGCCACACATCCCAAATTTCACCCGCACGGTATCCACGCCGCAGCCTGAAAGGTTGGGATGTACGAACGGTGAACCTCTTTCGCAACGGACTTTAGCCGACCGTGCACATCGGAACCGCTGCGATATGGTAATTGGAGTCGTCGGGTAGCAGATGAGGTGGGGGGGGGGGGGTGTTGGTGGGGGGGGGGCACGAAAGCAACTCCGCACCTACGGAGGGATCGCGTTACGCGCGCCGTGCAAAGCAAGGCAGGTGGTCGCTGAGCCCGCGGATCCCCTCGGGCGAACACGTGTCGCCCGGGCGTCATGTAACTGATGACCGGCCACTCGGTCGAGCACGTGTGCCCATTCTGTCACCCCGCTCCGTCCTGCGCTGGCCCTGCCGGCCCGCCGTCTGTCTGCTCGTCAACGCTGCTGCTTACTGCTGCTGCTGCTGCTGCACACCTTTAATAGAAGCGGTGTGAAAGGAAACGCATATTGAGTTGGTGAAAAAATCACGAACTCTACCCCCCCCCCCCCCCCCCCCCCCCCCCCCGTTCTCCCATACTCAATGGCTGAATTCATTAGGCCCGATCTCAGCACTGGAGCATCCGAGTTACAAGCTAAGAGACAAGGAATTAATAATTAAACCAGTCTTAAAAACCTGAACCTTAGACCAATCTTGAACATTTGAACCTTCGACTAGTCTAACACATCTGAACCTTAGACCAGGCTTAAATACCTGACCCTTAGACCAGGCTTAGACACCTGAATCTTAGACCAGGCTTAAATACCTGAACCCAGAATGGAAATAACCGGCCATCCAACCCCCCACCTGCCTGCTCTGATGAGTCCGGGGTGCCTGCTGATATTGTCGATGCCCCCGGTACTACCGGCCGAGAACGTCAGAATGTTGCAATGTACGATGTGAGGGAGGACGTGGAATAAAAAATACATATTTTGAAAAAAATAAAAATAAAACAGGCGTGATAAAATTACTTCGTGATGCGTGAAACTGGTGGAGTCACGTCGAGTTTATCCGCTGGGATTGAAGTTGATGGAAACGATAAATAAAAATAAAAACGCAAATGCTTTGCCATTTCCGGAATAAGCGCGGGAGGTGTTCAGATGCTCCAACACCAAATCGACACCTTTTTACAAGGCATAAAGTCAACGCTCGCCACACACACGCGTGGTGATAAAAAAAAATACATTATATACACACACAAACAAATGTGCGTTCATACGGTGACGCACTGGCCCTTAAAACCGACTGCTCTGTACCCGGAGTCGGCCCTCAATTACGGCTTCGTCTCACCAGTGCTTGACAAAAGGCCATCAAAAGGCAACCAGCGCAAGGACCATGCACACACCAAAGCATCGACAGCTTGGACTGTCTCCAGTGCTCGCCGTTTTGACTTGATAAACCAAAGCGAAACGCCACTAAGATTGTGCATCGTGCCCCAGATGCTCGTCGAGACGGGTTCGTGCTCGGTATCACACCGAGCTGATATGAGCTACCCGTCGGAGGCCGTCGGACTACGAGAAGGGCTGCGTGCAGACCGAGAGAGTGAGCGAGAGAGTGAGCGAGAGGTGGGGGTTTACATAAAGCAACGTTTAAAAATGTTTAAAAAAAAAATTACGAAATGATGAACGAAGCAAAGTACCGACGACACCGAGCATCTTCTTGTTTCCACTGATCGTAAAAAAAAGAGAGAGGCAGAGAGAGAGGAGCGTGTGGATCAAAGGATGGACCGTGCGCAGGTGAATGGCGACACATTGTTCCGCGATAGGAGTAAAGTTGGGGCTTGCGAGGGACGCGTCGCCACCAGGAGGGAATGACGGCTGGTGAGGCGGCACTATCGATGAGTTGGCATCTAAAGGAGAGGAGGCACGCGGGAGGGGACCCCCCCCCCCTTCCTCCATCGTGAAGACGGAGCAGTGAAATGAGCTCGCCCACGCGGGATGACCGAGGGATCGTGGCGCATCTGCAGGGACGGATTGGGAGATGCCTTCATCGAGCCGTGGGTAGATGACGATGATGATGACAGCACCTACGAATAGCACGGTCGGCTACGTACGGTGCGAAAGAAGTTCGACGTGCGTGCATGACGATGATGATGCCATCTGCTGCAGTAATATATTGTTTTACCCGTGGATTTTAAGCGAAAAATGATGAACCGTCGCTGACATCTTGCCAGGACCTTCTTGGAAATGAGTTGTGCATCTCAGGGGCCTGCCGCAGATAAATAAAGGCCATCACCATTAAAAACATATTTAACAACGATAACGGTAAATTACATAAACGATCGTGCTTAATTTTCATGCCCCCCCCCCCCACTCAAGCTGACGCTAATGCATCCTAAATGAGTCTGTAATTTACTTAGGGCTTGTGTGCGATCGATGGAGCTGGAATTATTTTCTCATTTGCGGGCACTCAAGACCGTTGGGATTAGGCCAACACACACGCAACCAGTCACGCTCGCTTCCTGTGTGATGCGCACATCATCGATATCTGTTTAATCGCGTGCGGCCTGGCCACGGGGGGGTGGGGGGGGATGGCTGCACTGCACATGGCTATGCTGCATGAGGCTACGCGACCACGTGGTTACGCTGCACGTGCCCACGGCAACCACGTGGTTACGCTGCACGTGGTTATGCGACCACGTGGCCACGCTGCACATGCCCACGGCGACCACGTGGTTACGCTGCACGTGCCCACGGCGACCACGTGGCCACGCTGCACGTGGTCACGTGCGTGACGCACCAAGCAAAGGGTCTGTGCCGTAGCATTCTTCCACGAGACTCCCGAACCCGCTGGCACCGCGAGGTGGCCAGGAGGAGGCAGAAGAGCAACTGGGGTCGATTATCTCATCTGTGTTGGCATCGGAAGAGAGGAAGCGGCCACGCATTCCGATGCAGGAGGCTGAGTGAGGCGTTGTTCATGGGTAAATGAACGCGCTGTTTGTTATTGTTGCTGGTGCGGGCGATAGTTTGGGTGTCTTGTGCACACGTAAGTGCCTGCTTTGGGTTAGCCTCAGGGGGAATTGCCTTTCACAAACTCCGCCCCCCTCTGCCTGTCGGATTGAATATTACATATAAATGGCTCGAACTTTGTACAGTTTTTTGATTTACAACACATGCTCACAAGCAGAGTCTGCCTTCGTTTAACAAACATTAAAAAAAAAGTCAACGTCGTCCTAGCCACCAGTCGCTTTCGTAACAGAAAAATTATCCACATTAGTAAGCCGATCTTTCCGGTAATTACCCTTCCTCAAAGCCATTGGTGACTAAGCAAATTTTTGTTGTTGCATTAATTCCACGGATCAAAGGCGCGCGCGCTCGTGTAAATGTCCCCGTTCGCATCATCGACCAAGGCCAATCCGCTGCTGGATGAACGAAGGCCTCCGTCTCAAACCGTCGCCATTCCGTGATCGTCACGCGAGGTGGCGGCCCCCCGTCTGGTTCCGGCGCCACGAGCGCCCGATTTCATCCCCACGGTGGGCGCGCTATCGGAGCGTGGGCACAGTGGGGTAACACTGCCACATGCCGCACAGCGGTACCCTGCTGTGAGGGCCACGTGGTGGTGTGGCCACGTGGTGGTATTACCACGCCGCTCGCTTTTCGTTGAGGCCGTCTACGTTTGCGGCGATGGTTAAAGCCCAGTTCAGTGCTGAGTGTGCGAGTGTTTGAAACGTCGTCAGTCAAATCCCCCGCCACCTTTCTCCCCCATGTCAATGACATTTATATTTTTTGTAAATGAATAAAACTAACAACTTCTGTGAACCCAGGGGACAGCTGCTTGGGCACGGACGGCAGTTGGGGACAGGGGTTCACCACCGCTCTGCGGGACGTGAGGTGGTGATACATTCACTCAGCGCGTGTTCGTTCTTACTGCTTTGCGGATTTTTGTTAAGTTATCTCCCCCCTTTGTTGCCTTCTCTCCCTCCCCGCCCACCTTTAACCCCTTGTTTTTGCTATCCTTCCCCGATCCTTCCATCCCCCATGTTATTTGTCATCCTCTCGCTCACGGTCCCCACCCGGGAGTCCAACTTCTGCCCCCTGCTCCAAGCCCCAGGCGCACCGAGCACTGGGATTTGTCCGCAGAAATTCTTACGTCCCCCACCCCACCCCACCACCTCCCCACGTCACGGTTTGTGCTTTGCACCTGGCTAGTGTTGAGTTAAAACAATAAAAAAAACTATTGAAATGAAAGATGATGGCCTGCAAAACCGATGTATTCCAATTGCGCTCTGGGAATCGTGCGACAATGCAACGGAACGAATTCCCACACCTCTATCTGTGCCGGGGCTTTGACGGGTAACCAACCCCAAGGCCACCTTCCTACGCGTGCTTGGGGTTTTTATCCGGGCTCTGCCGTGTTGATCCTCGCGCGATGCCAAACACGCCATCGATGAAATCGGTCAAACAATCCCGACGAAAAAAGAAACACTCGGTCGCAAAGAGTCTCGAGGCTTAGTTGACGCCCTCCTGAATTATTGAAGCTCAGCACCGCCACCACCATCGTCGTCGTCGTCAGCATTATTAGAGCGATCAGAAATATCTGCTGATAGGAGGATACGTGGTGAAGGCTCGGGGAAGGGATGGATGTTTTAAGGAGGTGACTAGAAGAGGGGTGAATGGGGGGGGGCAATATGAGAGCATGCACAGAAGCACACACACACAGAGACAAAGTTGCTCCGTGCATCATGCTTGCTGCTGCTCACAAGAGGCATCAGGAAACGTGAAATTGGCAGCGTTTTGTGAGCACGTGGTCCGGGGCAAATAAGGGCACGGACTCCGCTCAAAGGAAGTAGCAGAACAAACCTACCGCTGTGCGGCTACTGCTGCTGCTGCTACTGCTGCTACTGCTGCTGCTACTGCTGCTACTGCTGCTACTGCTGCTGCTACTGCTGCTACTGCTGCTGCTAGCGCCGCTGCTACCGCTGCTGCTGCTGCTACTGCTGCTACTGCTGCTGCAGCTGCTGCTGCTACTGCTGCTACTGCTGCTGCTACTGCTGCTACTGCTGCTGCTAGCGCCGCTGCTACCGCTGCTGCTGCTGCTACTGCTGCTACTGCTGCTGCAGCTGCTGCTGCTACTGCTGCTGCTACCGCCGCTGCTACCACTGCTGCTGCTGCTACTGCTGCTGCTAGCGCCGCTGCTACCGCTGCTGCTGCTGCTGCTACCGCTGCTGCTGCTGCTGCATGCCGAATGTAACATTAATTCAAAGAAATCTATAGAAATTCCACGAAAAGAAATAGCACGAACAAAACAGAAAGTTATCACAATGTCAAATAAGTCCATGAGGTCAACTACACGTCACGGAACACAGTCACAACTTCCCAGCCAGGTCAAGACCTTCACAGGAGGAGGCGGCGGTGGTGGTGGTGATGGAGTGCCAAAGAGTTATGACTCAATTTAGACCAATCGGTCCAATGTCCGAAAAGTGATGACCTCTTTTTCAGCGCATGCCTGCAAGAATTAATTAAAAAGAAGGCCTTGAGTTCGGATTTCAATAATAAAATAATAATCAAAATGCGATGGGAGTCGATTTGTCGGACGTGGAGTGGGAGTCTGGCATCGGGCCTCCGCGTCAGAAAACTCGCCCCACCAGTGGTGTGAGTCCCCCGCCACGCTCCACCAGTGGTGGAGCGTGGCGGGGGGCTCACAATTGGAAGGGTACGAGTTCAAATCCTGGTTAGGGTTTCACTCAGCCCATTATCACCCCCCACCCCCCGGGGTCGATCAAATGAGCACCACTTTCTTGGGAAACCAACAGCGGTTGCCCTCCGGGTGATGTTTTTTTGTTTTGTTAAAGCGACTCGTTAACCTTGCCAATCACTTTGCACTCATGTCGTGTGTGCTTTTTTTGTGTTGTTTGTTTGCCGTCGTAACTTTCTGACCCCCGCGCCCCTTTCGGGACGGCTGTGTGAAAACGAGATTTCGTAGTTTCTCGGATTCCTCCGGCATAGGAGATTCCGATCCCGAATTGCGTCCCGACCGTTAGGAGCGTGGAATTTCCACCGCTTGCTCCGGGGGGTTGGAAAGAGGAAGGTGAGAATTGCCTCGATCCACACTGGGAGGAGAGAGGGGTGAGGAGCATGGTTTAGTTTGTGACTATTTATAGAAAGTGCTCCTCCTCCGACGATATGGCGTGTGGATGGTTTTTTTGCAGTGGGTTGGTTCATATTAAGACTGCCATTAGCGGGGGTGGGCGGGCGGCTATCCCCTTAGGCTAAATAAAAACTGTACTTCGAGGAATGTTGTTACTTTATGTGCTTAACATTTGTTGTATGGTGATTCTATTATACTTTACCGGAGTTCAGCCGGTTACAATTAACCCCTTTGGGGGTTTAAATGCAGATTCTATATTCTCCCACAAATACAATCGCTGTTCCTCCTCGCGGTGAAACTGGAATAGAAACTTCATAAATCGCATCGCGGGCAGAGATCACACGTTAACTAACCAGGCTTATGTTGCTCTGCAGGCCAACCACTTTTCATCGAGCACATTTTCTTCAAAAACAAAATTAATCATCATAAAAGGTGTCCTTCACATATACGTCTCTCCACGTATTCCTTACGCGGCCCATCAGCTGCATGCCCTTCGTCGAGCACATCGTTTCAGCAGCATTGATTCAACAAAATGCAAACCTTTGGACCGGTTTCAACACACAGTATCTCATCAGCAGTAGGGTCAGGCTCGCTTGAATGAATGCTGATGAACTGACAATCTTACAGGTAAGCACCCTCCCCTTTATGTTAAGCGGTCCAAGTCCAACGCGAAATTATATACAAGGTTTGAGTCTTCTTGGTTCTTTCGGTAAAGTCACGTAGAAGGGAAATAATAAAGTAATAATACATAATAAAATAATATAATAAAATAATTTTCTGTTATATTTTTTTTTCATTATTTCCCTTCTACGTGACTTTACCGAAAGAACCAAGAAGATGAATCCCTGCAGTCATGAAAGCTTTAAATCGAAATTTAAGGTTTGAGTCACTATGAGACCTCCTTTACCAGTGGCAAAATATAGTGATAGGTTTTTACCCTTTCAACTGGTACAAAAACTGACACTTTTATACAAGGCATCTTGTTTGCAATAACCACAACACAAGCAGTCAAAATGCAAACAAAAATAAACAACTCTGATAATGATAATGATATGCACTGTCCTTGAAGTTGATTGGTCCACACCCGAGACAGCTTTTCTTAGAACCTAGTCTCCAATGGTGTTGGACCATTGAGTTGTACGCCTTTTGGCGTCATCTGGTCCAACACCAATGGAGACTAGGCTCTAATAAAAGCTGTCTCGGGTGTGGACCAATCAACTTCAAGGACAGTGCACATGATTATCATTATCAGAGTTGTTTATTTTTGTTTGCATTTTGACTGCTTGTGTTGTAGTTATTGCAAACATGATGCCTTGTATAAAGGTGTCAGTTTTTGTACCAGTTGAAAGGGTAAAAACCTATCACTAAGGTTTGAGTGATTTCTTAACTCACTCTGTATTCATTGGCCAGACATAACCCACTCACTCACTCCATGCCATCGCTGTACAAAGTTTCCACTGTTGCTCATCATAAGCGATGAAGATGACAATGACAACCCCGAGGACGATGATCCCAATAGCGATGATGACAGCGATAATGACAGCGACGATGGTGATGATGACGATGATGGATACTTTATTTATTTTACGATTTCAGTTTTTTTTATAAGGCGCAGCAGACCCAGCAAAGGGCTTCATTGTGCCGTACAGTAAAATGTACACGCAAAAAAGCATCTCCAGATTACCCAACATATCCTCGGGATACAACTGTTTTGGTTTCTTTCTAAATGGGGGCATCTCAGGCAGAGAGCGTTCCAAATTTGCGGGTCCAATGGAGCAAAAAAGCCCGAGCTCAAAAACTTTTTTTTTCCGAAATTGTGGCTCACCAAGGATCGTGGTCGCGCGTGACGACATCAAACCCCTTAGAAGGATCGGTCAAACATTGACGCTACTACTGAATGAGCGCTTTGTGAGTTAAGCATGGCGATTTGAATCGTGTAGCACGGAGTCCAGTAATGAGGAGGGACGACACACTGACGTCGAGGCTGACGGTGTTGACGATGACGACGACGGTGATGATGATGATGATGCTGCTGCTGCTAGCGTGATGCGAAGTCGGAGCGTACGTGCGTCGGCGGTTTGAGGGGCCCCATCCCAGCAGGGATGAGCGACGGAATGCTTGGCGCACTGGTTGGCAGCGGTAGCAACCCAGGTCTCCCCGAGCCGTGGTGGTGGTGGTTGTTGTGCTGCTGCTGATGTTGAAGCTGGAAGTGGTGGTGGTGGTAGTGGTGGTCGCCGCCACCGCCGCTGCTGCTGCTGCTGCAGCTGCTGCTGTCGCTCATGGCGTCGACGGAGCCCCGTTCCTTGCGGCCGCGGTAGTCGCAGCGGTCGTACCGCACGTGCGGGCGAGACATCGCGGCCAGGGGCCTCAACCGCCCGGAGCCTCGGCCGCGGCCGGCGTCGCCGCCAGCGCTGCGGCCACTCTGCGGGTAGAAAGAAGGTGTCAACGAGGACCACAGCTTCTTGCGAGGAGCCGGGTTCTTAACACGATTCGCGACTTGGATGGCGGCCTGCCTGAGGATACAACCACAAAAAAGTCAACACGTTCGTCAACAACGCCGTCGTAATTTTTAAAAGAAGATATCAAATCGGGCAACGTTTCGGGCAATGGCCCTTCTTCGTAGCACATGAAGCAGGTTTTGTGGACTTGGGGGTAGCAAGTTGGCCATACGATGGCAGTAACACCAATCCCCACTAAGCCCGAAGAAGCCTGAAGTAGATCAGGTGAAACTGATGGCAGATAAGGCTTCATGACCTGTGCCGCTGCTGCCGCCGCCACCATTGCACAATCTGCTGCTGCTGCATTCTGCCGTTGCTGGTAATTATTGCAAAGGAGTTTCAGGCGGAATGTTTCTCACCCGTGCCAACATGTAAAATAAATCATAATAAGTCGAACTAATGAGGGTTTACATGCGAGAGAAAACTGTAGCTCCCGTAAGAAAACCCACGCGTACGAGGGGGCAACACTCTATCCCTTACAGATGGAGCAGGTGGAGTCCACATTCGTTGTTAAGAAAAGTATAGTGGCTTGGGCAGGGCACATCACTCGAGGAGATGACGGCCGATAGACAAGACCGGCGATGGAATGGCAGCCAAAGGTCAGAATACGTTCAAGAGGGCAAATCCACCGTCCAAACGGACCGATAAGATAAGTTATCGTGTGCAAGAGTGCGGTGGATTGTGGCGTCGCGGGACAGTGAGGGAAGGCAGTGGCATAGGGAGGCCTTCATCCTGGAGTGCTGGATTACAGGTCACGTGCCTAGCCACCACCACGTGGCTAAGCCAGCGCTGCTGATAATCTTGTTTGTATTATTATAACACACTTATTGAACTTGCCGTGTTGTTCCTCTTCATATTCTTTGGAACCTTTGACGCTTAATATCTTAGGATTTTCATTTAATTTTCTTAATGCGAGCCACCCACGTTTTTAATTTAGCACATCAAATTTTATGAATTCCGGGGTCAAAATAATTAATTGTTCTACTTTTGAGTGCAAATAAAAGTGTGTGTACTGAAAAAATAGTTTTTACCAAATATTTTTAAATGTGAGAGTCATCCAAAATTAAACCGGTTTCTCTGGATTAAGCACAGTGAGTCGATTGTAATCATGTACTATAAATAAGAATGTACATTAACTGCCTTTGCACGAACATTAACCCAACAAAAATTGCGTCGACAATATTTCTACATGGCCAATGAATCACGGGCGAACGTCAAATTATCTCCCGAGTCCCCAAGTTTGTCGTCGGTGAAACTTTCATAAACACAGTAGGAAATGTAATAAGCCAAACCACGGAATTGTGCGTGAACACGCCAGACAAGGCGCCTGATGATAGATGTATCTCGTTGCATCGCGGGCCCGTCAGAGACGACCAAAACTCTGGCATTGAGGCCTTCATTCAGCAGTGCATAGCTGCTGCTGCTGATGATGATTACTGCGATGAATGTTCGGACACACACGAGGCAAAAACTCTTGCGGAACAGTCACGCTGAAAAAAAAATGTCAAATCCCATTGATAATTCCTAGAGCCCTTGAACACACAGAGTCAGCAAGCTGTTTCCTACCCGAGCTCTTTACGAGCTTAGCGGCGCTTATTGTCAGGAACGACCACCGATGCAAAGTCCACGACTTAGTCACTGAACCTGGCCACTCTTTAACGCGATCACCGGCGATCGCACGCGCCCATCGCCCCGCATGCACCTTGCCGAGACCTCGCCGAGGTTGAGCTGCCCACAAAAACCAGCGGCCCCGGTGGACACGCAAACAGTTGGGCCCGCGCCAAAGTTGCCACCCCCCCCCCCCTCCAACGTCAGCCAGCGTTTGACCTCAACGTTCGCACGTTTTGTCGGGCAGGAAAAGGCACGGCTCCCACGTCGTTTCTCGCACCGCCACGTCACGTGGCCACCACCCTGAAAAGCACAACGCTCTCAGCCTTGCCTAAGCCACCAGTTCAAAAGAGCGGAGCGCGTTGGCTGTGCCGCTGCTGAAGCCAGAGAGAGTTGAGGATGTGGCCTTGACCCCGTCAAGCAACGGTGAAACAAAGATACAACTGCAGACTGAATTTTTCGATTTAAAGCTTTCGTGACTGCAGGGATTCATCTTCTTGGTTCTTTTGGTAAAGTCACGTAGAATGGAAATAATTAAATAAAATAATAATTAAACTGCTGACTGGTTTCATTCTCAATTGGACTCGTCAGTAACGGTGCAGTGCGGCCACGGACGTCCACTGCTGCCCCTCCTGCTTCCACCCGGCACGCATTTGTCCCGTTGTGGGAAGTTCTCGTCATTCACACAGAGTGTTGGATTCAAACAAAACGTTGGGCTGGGAGGCGGATGCTGCCAGCCCATGGAATGGCCCAGCGGATTGGGGGGTTTCGGAGCCATTTGGATGAACGCTTTCCTCCTCTGCGTATGACTGCGTCCCGTGCGCGCGTGTGATTCGTCTTCGCGTACGCTCGTTACCACAGCGCAAATCCGTGGCCTGTAGCATGTCGCCTCATTATTGAAAAGCTCCTCTTGGAGCTCCGTTAAAGAGGCCGCGCAAGCGATTCCCCGATCGTTGGGCTGCGCCTTCAGATGCGGCGTCGGCGGCGGCGGTGAGCGTCACCGATGGCACGCGGTGACGCTCACCGAGGACGCTTTGTGGACGCAGTGCGTGTCGTGGTCGTGGTGCGTGTCGTTGTCGTCACAGTGCCTCCGTCGTCCTCGTGTGACGTCCGGTTGGGATGGGCAGAGCAGGCGGCGAAGTTGTCGTGGTTTTGTGCACCTCGGTGACTCGGCGGCTCAAACACAAACAGTGGCAAATTAACTCAACTTGGTTCACATTGACGGGGTAAAGCCCCCCTGAGCTCGGCAACTCTCTTTCAGTAAGTGACCTGCCACACGAACGAATGCTCAGCTCAACAAAGTGGCTTATCACGTGCGCCAGGTGGGGGGGGGGGGTGACATTATAGCCGCCGAATAATCTAATGGGGTGTGCGAATCCACTCTGTGCATCCCCTAGGTTGGCTCAGCCTAAAATTATTATCCTCAGCAAAAGTGATCAACAGCAGACCAACCCCCACGCCCAGAGAGCAGACGATGATTGATGCTGGTGACCAAGCATGCCCCAACCCCACCATGACATTAATAGGAGCTCGCTGACAGCGCTTGAAACCGCTATACTTGGAAACCTGGTCCGATTTAATATTGAAGTGCGTGCGTGTGCGTGTGCGTGCGCGTGTGTGCATGCAAAGACGTAAATATATTTAGGGGGGTGGAGGATGGGGAGGGGGGTTGTTTTTTGAGGTTGTCAGCAAAGCAACGTGATTCCTGATGATTTTTAAATCCTTTATATTAAGTTCACTTGCTTGCTTGCTTGCTTACGACCATGCAAATCTTTCAGTCGTTTTTTAACCCACTTCCCGTGATCCAATCGAGCTGACATTTTCCACACAGACTCGTTGTGCGTGACAATTAATGTTCGTGAAAAAAATGTTTCCAAAATTTTACACTTTTTAGGACTAAAATATTATATTTAATTACCAATTGCTTAATGCTGCCATGCAATCATCTGACCCATAGCTGGCAGCCATCTCAAGCCAGAGGACGAGAGGACTCTAGCCGCCACGCATATAAAGGATTTATAGTGAAAAACTTTGTTTTTACGGGTTATACTTGTTACGTGATCGACTTGTTTGTTGAACGCTGCAGTATCGGCAAGTGCATGTTGGGGACGATTAATACGCAGCGTGTCTCCTGTAGCGGCGGTGGTGCGGTGGGTAGAACATGGCGCTATGAACCAGGAGGCCCTAGGTTCGATTCCGAACCAGCGCCAAAATCATGATGATGGTCCTGACCCTCTCCTCTAGCGCCACCTTCAATCAAACCGCAATTAACGAGAGTGGTGAAGTATGGTCAAACACCCCCCCCCCCCCACCATGATCGATACAGCGTGGAGATGCTTACATAATCCAGCAGTGGACTGACAAAAAACACCACTGCTGCTTTGCTGCAATGACCAACTCAACACGCTCGCAAACATACCGTGGTCTTAAAGGTGCGGGGATAATATATATAACAGGCAACGTTTCGGGCTATGGACCTTCTTCATAGCGCGTGTGCATCGGGCAGCACGTGACGCGTTCAGTTTTGTTTTTACTTAATACGGGACAGCATATACGAATGTAAATTAAAATGTTCTATCATGGGTAGACAGCTGGAATTTGGCACAGATGTTTGTCGAGTTTGTGCCTTAGACTGACTGAAACATCTTCTTGGTTCTTTCGGTAAAGTCACGTAGAAGGGAAGTAATAAAATAATAAAAATAAAACATAATAAAACACAAGCTTCGTGGTGTTTCAGTCTTCACCTGAGGACGGCTGCTTGCATTGTGGCCGAAACGTCGTGAGAATTATTTTATTATGTTTTATTTTTATTATTTTATTACTTCCCTTCTACGTGACTTTACCGAAAGAACCAAGAAGATGAATCCCTGTAGTCACGAAAGATTTAAATTTACTGAAACATGTCTTATTATCATCATTATTATCATTAAAATGTTGATCCTCGAAATTCAGTGGAGAGGCGGCTGATTTGAGTGGCTGCTGAAACAGAGTCACGCTCAGCCTGGCGGTCCCCACTGCCTGCACAGCTACTGCCCCCATCACTTCGTGAGTGAACCGAGTAATTCGCCCCCCGCCCTCCCTGTGGAGTGTAACACTCGAGCCGATACAAAGTGGCCAAAGCTCGCAACTGTTCAGTGCTGAAACTTTCAAAGTTGCCGCAGCATCCGTGAGGACAAAACATTCCATTGATTGTTGGATCGATAACATTCTCTCTGCGAGGTATGGCAATACATAGGCAGTATATGCAAGCTTAATTAATCTCTACTCAATGTGAAGACTGATCTGTTCCGAAAACAGGAGCAGTACACACTCACGATCCCGTCTCACTAAATCACTCACTCGAACTCGCCTCTCTCACTCACTCACTAACTCACCCTCTCTCAATGCTCTCACTCCAACACTCACCGCTCTCACTCACTCACCGCTCTCTCTCTCTCTCACCTTACTCTTAACACACTCACCTCTCTCCCTAACACACTCACCTCTCTCACTCATTCTCACAACACACTCACCACGCAACGACACACACACACTCTCTTACTCACCTCTCTCACTAACACACTCACCTCTCTCCCTAACACACTCACCTCTCTCACTCATTCTCACAACACACTCACCACGCAACGACACACACACACTCTCTTACTCACCTCTCTCACTAACACACTCACCGCTCTCCCTAACACACTCACCTCTCTCCCTAACACACACAATATCTCACTCACTCACTCACTCACCTCTCTCCCTAACACACACACTCACTCACTAACACACTCACTCTCCCTAACACACTCACCTCTCTCCCTAACACACACTCACTCACCTCTCCCACTCACCTCTCTCCCTAACACACTCACCTCTCTCACTCATTCTCACAACACACCCCAACGACACACACACACTCTCACTCACTCACCTTTCTCACTAACACCCTCACCTCTCCCACTCACCTCTCTCACTAACACACTCACCTCTCTCACTAACACACTCTCACCCACTCACCTCTCTCACTAACACACTCACCTCTCCCACTCACCTCTCTCACTAACACACTCACCTCTCTCCCTAATACACACACTCTCTCACTAACACACTCTCACTCACTCACCTCTCTCCCTAACACACACTCACCTCTCTCACTACACACACTCTCACTCACCCACTCACCTCTCTCACTAACACACTCACCTCTCTCACCGAGAGAGACTGCACGAGGGAGCGAGCCAGAGATCGCGCGCGGCTCCTCTCGAGCCGAGCCGCGGCGATGTTGAGGCGGGCAACGAAGCGCGTGCAGTGACGACGATCCTCCCTCCCTCCCTCCCACCCCGCAAAGCCCTGACCGCCACCACACACACACTCGCTCGCTCGCTCTCTGTCCCTCCCTCTCCCCATCACACACACCACACTCTCTGCTTCCATGTCCCCTCCCTCTCCTCTCTCTTCCCTCCCTCTATTTCCCCTCCCTCTCTTTCTCCTCCCTCTCCCCATCACACGCTCTCTCTCTCTTCTTCTACGTCCCTCCCCTCCTCTCGCCCCCTTCCTCTTCCCATCACACGCACAGGGGAATAGGGGAGGTCACGAGTGCGCGCTGTTTGTAGCAGCAGCAGCACGGACCGCACCAAACTCCCTTGGCGGGGAGAGATTTTCGCGAAACCTCGGCGACGCGGCGTGCCGCAACTTGCAGGTCCAGTGGTGGTGGTGGGAGGGGGGGTACCATTTGGAAACTTGGCACGCATTCGCCTACAACACTGAATACTGCCACCTCGTCGCCCCCCCCCCCCACCTATTCCACCGCGGCAACCCGCCCCCATCCCCAGTGCCGGATGAAGCTAGTGGGGGGCCTGTAACATTTGTTATGAAGGGGCCCTAAATAAAAACAACACGTAAATATTAAAACACAAATGATGAACTTGCATTTTAAAGTAATTGTAATTTTTAATTAGCTATACAGCCAGATAATACGACTAACCGCTAACCTTGAACACCCGGTCGTTCATAAACGTTGAAGGTGGTATGGTACTATAATAATAGAGCAAGTGCAGAATCACTGTGCCGGGATTGCTAGCTTGAGAGTGCGGGACCCGTAGCTACATGTGTAGCTACTTGTGCTACGAGGATAATCCGCCACTGACCCCCCCATCCCACCTTCGCCCCAAAATAAAAGTGGGGCAATTGCCCTTCTTCGCAGAAGAAGGGAGCCATCGCCCGAAGCGTCGTCGATTTGTCAATCCCAATGGCAATTTGCTTCGCGTAGCGCTGTGAACGGCAGAAGGGGGCAGTTTGCCAGTGGCGTGGTAACTACATTCAGCAGCTCGGGGGCTGCAGCGAATCGGTCAGGTGGGGCCCCCGATATTATTGAAAACGTACTTCATGTTGGTTGTCAAAGGGGGGCTCAACTCGTAGCTTTGACCACCACGGGGAGCCACAAGGCACCCCCTTACCCGCGCCACGCTCGCTAACGCGACTGGCCCATGGGGGGTACGTTGGGTCAGCAGATGGATTAGGGTCTTCGCGATCAGCGTGGGAAGGAAGGAAGAGAGTCGGTGGCAGCCAGGGAGGGGCTCGGCTGGCCCCCTGGTAAGCCGTGTGGCTCATTTTCCATTTCCGGCTGAATTGAATTTGGGGGGGGGGCAGTTTTGTTGACCTGTATGGTAGCGGTTCGCTGGCTGCTGCTGCGGAACAAACCCAGCAGGTTCGCTCTGCTCCCTCCCGTTCTCTGTGTAGCCCTGTACGGCCCGGTTTGGGGGGGGGCAAGTCGTGTTTCGTGAGTGCCCATTAAAGCCAGTGCTGCCCAAAAGTGTGGCATGGTGAGGTTCAACACCGCGTTGGGCCGCATCTGCCACCTCCAGCGTTGTGATTTTTGTTGTTGTCGTTGTTGTTGGTATTTGCACCGCACAGAGGGTTACATTACTGTACCCATTTAAGGCTGAGTCGACCTAGAGGAGGCCCAGAACCGCAGGTGATATCACTCGCCGCTTGTGTTAGCCAAAGTCACTGCGCCACAGCGGTAAGAACACACGCACAGCACTGCTGCTCTCAGCTGTTGTGTGCCATATAACAAACAACAACAACAACAATGCACTGCACTGCCTTTAGCCAGTCGAGTTTACGGTCTCTCAAGACGCGTTTCCCTGCCTCGATCTGCTGCCTCCTAACCAAGAATTAAAGACAATTACCGTGTGCCTAGGAGATACACGAGATACTGATAACTGGGTCTCCGAGTCCAAGCAAAGGTTACCTAGTTGATCATTTAAGGGGCCGTCCATAAATGACGTCACGCACCTAGGGGGGGGGGGTCAGACATTTGTGACGAGGGGGGGTGAGAAATGTGACGTCACATCAAAATGCGCAACTTTAAATAAATATAGACAACACGTTCTACTTAATTAAATATACTGTTTAATAAATGTTTTTCCTACAAAATCAGAGTGCAGCGCCACATTAAATACGCACTACAATAGTTTTAAAGCGATTTGAAGCATGTTTTATTTGGGGGGGGGGGGGTAGCAGAGCTTTGTGACGTCATATTTGAGAGGGGGGTCTGACTTTTTGTGACGCCGTGTGACGAAGGGAGGGGGGGTCCCTAACAGACGCTGTTGTCTTCCTGTCCGAATGGACGGACAAATGCAGAGAAAGGGGCTGATCAATACGAGATACAGTAACGTCAGTAAACTACCCAGGCAGGCCTCTTTGAGACCCAAGACTTCTTGCACAAGTGGGCCCAGTCTAATGCTCTGCTAGAGTTGGAGGCCTGGTTTTGTAGCTCACGTCACTGCTCGTGCAAAAGGCCTCCATGCTGGCCAGCCGTCTAGGAACAGTGGCAGAGTGTTCAGAGTAAAGACAAAGATCCCGCCGTTATAGCCTCAGCAGACTGTTGGAGCAAGTGCTGTTAGTGAGTACATATGAAGGCCGGAACGGCACACGAGGGGATGGGTGGCCAGCACCACGCCCGACCGTCCTTTGTCTCCCGAGTAGCAATGTTTACGTACTGCGCCAGGTAATCATTTGTGGCTGAGTCGACCCAGGAGAGGCTCAGGACCGGTTCTAATAATCATCACTGGTGTTGGCCCTGAGCGGGAATCGAACTCGGGTCGCCGGTTTCGGAGATCAGCGCGCTAACCGCTGCGCCACCGCTCCCCGCCAGTGCTCAGAGTAAAGACACACACACACGCACACAAGGGGATATAACCCACTCAAAAGTTCCCCACAGATGTGTTCATAGATCCGCTTGATGTGCTGCCAACTTGTGGCTACCTAGAAACCGAGGCAGGTTCGGTTGGTCCACCAACCCTTGCATCTGAAGCACCTCCGATGGTTAGCGTGGTTGGCTACGTACGGTGCGAAGGAAGTTCAACATACGTGCAACATACGTGGCTCGCAACATTGCCCAGACTTTGCTTGTGGGGCATTGAATCGATGGCGCTGACGAGACCGTGCCGACGATGGGTTGTGTGAGAAAGGAGCGTGGCATGCAGTCGTGACGCCCGCCTATTCATTCGTTTGATAGCAAACTGACGACTTCCCATGCCTGTGGTGGTGGTGGTGACGAGCACGTGTGATCCAGCGGCATTGGAGGCGAGGGTTAGTGGATCACGCAATGGCATTTGTGAATCTCTCTCATTTCGCTGGGCTGCGAGCGCTGGGATGCACGGGCTTGTGGCAGGACACCCCAGGTTGGCTGTGCAGCACTGTGGTCAGTTGATTGATAAGCGTTTATAATCTTAAGCGCGCGTGTGTTTGTGTGTTTCCGTTGTGTGCAAGTACACAGGATAAGAGACAATGCTCTGTCTCTTCTTTGGGTCTTTCGGTAAAGTCACGTATAGATAGGTTCAAATAAAAATAACAACAAACTACGACGTTTCGATCGCAACACAAGTGGTCGTCACCCCCCTTTTTCCTGATGACGACCGCTTGTGTTGCGATCGAAACGTCGTAGTTTTTTTTTCTTATTTTTCTTTCAACCTATCTACGCGACTTTACCGAAAGATCAAAAAAAAAATAACAACCGATTTTTACCGAAAGTTCCAAACAATATGAATTCCTGCAGTCACGAGAGCTTTAAGTCAAGACGTGATGCTCTGTATGCGAGTGGCGTTATGTGCCACGTGGTGACCAGGCGATTGATTGCCAGCGTCATCGTCGTCACGCGCCCGACACGTGGGGGCCCCCCTTCACCGCACGCCGTGTCTGTCTCTCTCTCTCTCTCCTCGGTGGCGGGGGGTGGAGAGCCGCGATTCACAGGGACAATTGCAGCACTCGCCATGCCGAGTAAGCGTCGCCGGCAATGCGTCTCACTGTGACGAAGGCTGTGATTTTGGCAAACGGTGGTTGTCGGTTAAAAATAGACGACCGGCTACTGTGCGTTGGGAATTACATATTCACGGAATACTGTGGGGGCGGTGCTACCCCCCCCCCCCCCCCCCCCCGTCCTCACAACGTGCATCGTGGTTGTTGTTGTTGTCCTTCCTTGCAACTCCGATGAGCACCGTTAGCCACGTACGGTGCGAAAGAAGTTCAACATACATGCAGGGCTAAGGGCCGTTCGCCCCCCCCCCGCCCACCGCGTAAGCATGCTCGGGTTAATGGCATTAGCCAAATGTTCCAAACGCAGTACTCTCTGTTCAATATGAATCTCGAGGCCCGGTGAGACTCTTGTGGTCACAATGGCACTATTTTGCTTCCATTATTATCGTTGTTGTTATTATTGATAAGTACATTGCCACTCGAGTGCTCATTGAATGTTTACAGAACTGAGCCTGTTGGTGGAAACTCCGCATTTTGTGTTGAGTTTGCTGTCCCCCCCCCCCACCTTCTATTAGTGCGGTTGGCTACGTACGGTGCGAAAGAAGTTCAACATGCGTACATTGCTATGGCATGGGCAATTCTATCGATCAGCAAATAGCTGTTGAAATCTCACCGAGCCACGGTTGCGAGATGTTAACTACCTCGCCCAGGTATGCAGGAGGTCGTGGGATGCATCCCTACCCGGAAGCCTGTATATTCGTAATTTGCGTGTCTCTCTTCCCGTGGTCGCGTGGATTTTTTTTCCGGGTCCTCCGGTTTTTCCCTCCACATTTAGAAACACGCGTTTAAGAGTATTTGGCTGCTGTAGATTTCCACACCATAATCAGCCACGTCGCTGAGCTTTCATTTGTGGCCAGGTCGCTTCTGATAAAGAGCTGCATAGCTTAGTGGGCCTTACTTGGTAAAATAAAAACATAGTTTATAGTTTTAAGTGATACTAAATTCATGGAATCTAAAGGAGAATCATTGGC